TAAAATTAAATCCAATAAGATTAACAATCCAGTTAAAAATGGACAATTTAAATAGACACCACCAAAGAAGTGTATATGGCAAATGAGCTCATGAAAACCTGTACAATATTATTAGTAATTACAGATAATGGAAGTAAAAACTCAATGAGACATAATTAACACCTGTATAAGATGGTTATTGTTGGAGGAAGGAAGAGAGGTAGAAGGGAAGGACTCCTTTCTTTCTGGGCCCACACACAAAATCTTCTACACAATCATTAAATAGTGCTGGTAGAACTTCTTTATCATAACACCATAAACTCTTAGGTTGGAAAAGCATCTCGATATATAGAGCTACTGCTTCACAGTGACTTTTTCTTGCTTGAGTCTCATCAACAAAGCATAAAAGGCAAGAAGCAGACACAAAGGGACACAGTAAATAAAGTAGGACAGAAGTTCCACAGCTTTCCAAGCATCATGATGCTAGTCTGTGTTGATGGCAGAACCTCAAGCCAAGGTTTCTGGCTTCAGATCTCCCACTCTTTTCTGCTTGTAGGACATCCTGGCCAGGAGTTCCTCTCTGCTAACCACTGGAATACAGCATTCAGAAGTTCTGCCATAGCCCTGTGCTACTTGTCACCATCATCGATATATTGGCTACTATTAAAGAGACAAAAAAAAATCCTGACAGTATTAACTTCTGTCAGTGACTCATAGCAAGAACTCTCATGTTGCAGGGGATATGCAAAAATGTCATAGCCACTTTAGCAAACAGTTTGTAGTTGTTAATGTAGCTAAACATATTCTTACGCTTCAGCTCAGAAATTTTACTCCTTGGCATTTAACTAAGTGAAATTAAACCTTACATACACAAAGATCTGTTTTGGAATGTTGAACAACTTTAATCATAATCACCAAAAACTGTAAATCTAATGATGAATAGATACACAAATTTTTGAACAGCCATTCAGTATAGCATTCAGCTACATTAAGGAATAAGCTATAGATACATATACATACAAATAAACCTGAGTCTTAATAAGGCATCCAAGCAGGCATCAAAGATATTTGTATTTTACTGTGAGAGTAATAGGGATATTGATAGTAATATATCTATATAACTATATAATATATTATATCATATATGTGATATATATCATTTATATATGTGTGTGTGTGTGTGTATATATATATATACACACACACACACATATACACAGATTTTGATTTCTACTTTACATCAGTGACTGCCTACGAAGGTTCTGTGTCCCAAAATGTATGTGTAAAATATTCTCTGCAATACAGACAGATGATGTTAAAATTCAAATTATTTTAATTGCTTTATTTTTATTAAATTCTACTTAAAATTTGCTTTGAAGAACTGATTAGATATCTAACACACGTGGCTTCTGATGGAGTTATATAACTTCTGAAAAATTCATATCTTTACAAAATAATTATTTCCTTGAGATTTGGCTATCACAGCACAAAGTCAAGCGACTTGATGAGAGCAGCATCCTCTGGTTATGAACTTAAAACTCATTAGCAGAGTTTTTAATCACAATGACGTTCTCCCATGTGAACTCAACTATATGAAGAGAAAGGAAAGAAGGAGGAAAAGAAGGAAGAAAAAAGAGTAGACGCCAAATTCATAATCCTGATAGAGATCTGATTAAAAATCCATCCCCAGTACAGAAGCAAAAGCTGAATAACAAATAAGAGACAATGGTTATAATATAAGTGTGAACATTTTTAGTGCAATAGGTCTATTCAAAGAGTAAGAATGGTTCAGTTAGAACCTGCTCAAGGACAATGAGGTGTCATGGGCATTGGTAAAGCAAGGAATCTTAGGCATACAATGGATATTGAAAATTTCATTGGCCCCCGTCCTCCCTCAACAGGGCAGAGGCACAAACAAACAACAATGGAAACTGGCTGTAAACAAAGAGTTCATTCTTATTAACGTACACAAGCTGAAGAGGACAAAGATCAAATTAATTTACTAAGGATGAACACTCCAAGTGGGACAAAAGGCAAGGCAGAGAGTGAATCATTACCAGGGCCAAAAGGCCTCCACAACTGAAACAAAATGTATGGGATGTGATTAAAAAGAGGTTAAAAGTATCAACCAATGACCTAAAAGTCACAAGCGGATAAACCTATGTTTGGCAGGCTTTGTATGTCGCAGGTAATGGTAAAAAATATAGTATTAGTGGATAAAACTACTACAAGCCAATACTTAGGGTAATGGAATGGGAAATATTTAAAAGGAATAAAATGAAAACAAGGTTTATGAGCACCTCACAACCCCACCATTACTGTGCATAGAAATACAAAGCTTTATTATGTTCTGAGTATTAAAGTAGAATGACGAAGCTATAGTGTCCTTCCTAGAATTAACAGGCAGAAAGAAATACGTGTCTGAGATTTTCTATGGGAAATCTGAAGAAAATTAGCACTCCCTTTAACCCTTACTGTTCTCTGAGATATCCAAAGGAAAAGATCACAGGAGAAACAGAAACATTCCCACCATCCCTCTGATAAAGGGTACTTATCTGTTCTTTAACAAGATAAGAGAGACTCTTAAAGATCAACATCTAAACTTCACATTCCTCAAGTAAGCATTATGGCAAACTTATACATTCCAATTCCTGAACAGAAAGATATACATATATGGGTTTGGGACCCAGCTCTAATCTTATTAGTAGACTGGAGAAACAAAAGTGCTACCTGCTACTAAAATATAAGGTTAGACATAATTTTAATGTAATATAATAAAATTAATATAATTTAAAAGTTCAGTGATAAAGTGTGCATATAGCAGTGGTAGATATGCATATATAGGAATGAAGGCGAAAAGAAAGAAAGTTAAAAATGAACATAAAACGTCTCAATATGGGCACAATTCACTGGTACATCTGATAGAGATGAGACATGGATCAGCAAACTCTTAATCATCTAGAAAAGCACTGAGATCAGCAATCTATGTTTAACAGTCTCATTTCACCAGAAAAACATTACTTTTAGAGGCCTCCACTGGTTTAAGACTACTAGTTTTCTCCTTCTTTGGCTTATTTATCTGGTTCTGAATACTCACAAGTACTTTCAATAGATAATTCTGAATGAATGACACTAGAGGGTACTCACAGAAAGAAAAGGCAAACAGAAAAGAGAGTATGCAAAGAAATTTCTTCTGTCTGAGAAGAAAGGTGAATATTAAATATGGAAAAGACATACATAAAACGATAAATGAGTACTTGGCACAGGACCATGAGTTATATGTGGTTCGAGAAAATGTTTAGAAGTTCAAAAAAGGGGAACAGTTTTAGAATAGCCAGGGACATAGCCTTTATTAATTATAACCAACACATAAAATGAATGTGTGTGTGTGTGTGTGTGTGTGTGTGTGTGTGTGTGTGTATTAAGGGTTGGTCAGAAATGGGCAAGGAGAGCTGGGAAGTAATTCCTGAGCTCCACTTCTGTTATTGAATACTTTGTTACTTTGGGACATCTTGAGTTATTCTACAGGAATGTATCCCCTTTTAATTTCTCCAAGTTGCCACTGATGCTCTTTCTACACAAGGCAGGTGAACAGACACTGGGGTATGTCTCTCAGACCAGCCCAGACTAGAACACAATAATTTCACTTAAGAGAATTAGCTTGGGAATCAGATTCAGAATTGCTACCATAGCTACTTATTGTCACGATTGCTTTTACAAGGATTTCTTGAGAGTCAGGTAGAAGGGTACGATATGCCAGTATTTAAAAAGTAACCATTATCATTGTCATTTGGTCAATTTCATTACAGGGGTTTAGCATACACATGCTTTTTGACTTAGTGTGATGCCCCAGGAAATTCATCATAAACTGAAAATATCATTGTTGAGAAAGAATTTAACGCGTTCTGTAGACATGATGATATCATAGACACCTAAGTTAGAAATTAATAGGCAGTCAAGAAAGGGATTGGTCCATCAAGGGAGTCAGTACAAAAGATAAAGACACATCAAAATTGCAGCTAGAGGTGAATGTGAAGAGGAGCAGGACTCAAGGTGGAGACTGACAGCCAATCCTGGGAGCCTCCCTAAAGATAAACAGAAATCTGGGAGTACACTGCGATTAGCACCACCCGGTCCAGTGAGTCCAGCTCGGCATCAGGGGCATAAGTGGGTGACCAGAACATCCAAACTCATATTCTCATACATATGCTCAAAAGTACCTTTGTTCTTTCTGTGGGTTAGAAGTTATAGATAAGCTAAAGTTAATGATGCTCACCATACACCTTTGCTATATGCCTTGCTTCCTTTTTGGATGAATATTAACTAAGTGACTATACTTACACGCCTATTGGTTGATTATAGGTTGACCCCCATTGTAGCCACATTGTGACACTGCTGCATAAAATACTCTTGATAAAGAGATTCAGAGGCAAACCGCTTGGGATCCCTTCTATAATTCTAAGAGCTACTTCTCTTTTCTTAAATTGACTAAAAGTATACTAGCCTCCTTCTTTGGTTTGCAGCTTCATTCCTGGATGTTTTGAGATTTCAACTCAACACATCTGACATCCAACAGGTTGGGAATTAGTTTCCCCATCACAACAGAATATAAAAATACAAAGCAGCATCCCCCAAAATGCTGACAAAACAGTCCACTGTAAACTATTGACTATTTTTCCCATGATATCATGGCTGATGCGAGTTATGCTTTGCAGCCACTGCCCAACATCAAGATAGGATGTTGCACTGCATATCACAAGTCTGGGAAAAGATCCAACTTCAAAGGACGAATTTTACTGAGTATGAATGGCTTTGTACTATCATGAAGTTGAGAAAGTGTTAAGTCAAGCCATTGTAAGTTGAGGATCATCTGTACATAATTCTTTCCCAACACTAGAAAGTGTATTTTTAAATTTGAAATGTTATAGCTACCAAGCCAGAAACAAAATAAACTGTACTCTGTATTCTCAATTTAACATACTTTTAACATAAAATGTTTTATGAAATAGTAAGAGTCTTACCTCTGTTATGTGAATAATAGTGGCTCTGGCCTTGTGATTCAGCTGTGTTGATTGTCACTTCAACTGCTTTTCTAGCAGAGCCTTCACTCTGTTGAACACTTTGGAAGCTCCACTCACAGGCAGACTGCCCAGGTCTCGTGTATCTCTGATATTAACCTGAGCCATCAAAAAAACAAAACAAAAAAAAAGGACAGGGAATCAAACCAATAAAATTGCAAAAATATAAGGAAATTTTCTTAAAAGAAGTCTAGAAGGTATGTCACTCTGACACACGAATGAGGTGAAATCTCATTTGTGAGGCAGACGCCATGTTTATTTCCCCTCATGTTCCTATAATGTGAAATGCTCTCTAGGGCGCAGTTATGTTATTTAGTTCATGCTCAAATTATGTCCAGGAACATTAAAAGGTGGAGACAAAACAGAAAGGAAATAACACTTGTCTTGTGTCTTCCACTGGTCAGACTCTACGCAGCAGCAGGTTTTGTTTTCTGTTTGAATCCTCACATTAGTTCTTGGGTAGGACATTGTCTTCTAGAATAATATAATTTTTTTCAGTGGCATTTCCATCACAGTCTACATGGTGTCTCATAGTCTGCTAATACAAAATACGTTTCATTGCTTTGTTTGTTCCCTTTAAAAATATAGTTGCCTGGAAAAAATTTAGGCTATCTAACAACTGCCATCTTGTGACCAGAACCAGAACTGCCAGTACCATGTCCTTGTGGGAGAAGGGTGGGAACTTCATCCTGCCAGACCTCAGCTTTCTCAGGCTTCTAGAATACTCCATGCTTAAATTCTGAGCTTTGTTATGCATTATACAAAAAATAGTATTCAAATATTTTAACTGCAATGATCTGACTGTAAAATAATATGCTTCTTTACTAAAAATTAAAAAGACAAGAAAGATACATAAAAAGCAGTTTGGGAAAGCCAAAATTATTTCCTATACATGCTTTCATATTTTCTCCTACCATATATATGTGTATGGATGCCATTTCAAAGCACCTTTTTACCTTATTCAGTTTCACAGTTTGAACATTTTCCACGTTAATTAGTATTTTCAATGTGATACTTTAATGAATAAATTCAAATAAATTTCCTTCAAACTTTGCAGCATTTTATCTTAATCTTTTTTCTGAGTGTCAGAAAACTAGTATACATATATATGTATGTATGTATATATATATATATATATATATATATATATATATATAATAAAGCCTGTCCCAACCACACAAATAATTCCACCAGGTTGCATGTTACATTTTTTAAAAATGTGGTCATACATATTTCACAAATAGTTTTTTCTTCAGTGACGTAATATGCTACTTGCCATTTTGCAACTTGCTTTTTTCAATACTACTTCAAAGGGATCTTTTCAATTCACAAGTTCATATTTTTGTCAACTTTATATGCATTCCACTGTTTGGAAGTATCCCTCCGCATACTACCTTTAAAACAGCTTATAGCAAGAAACAAATTCCTGTCTTTATCTCATGTTTAAACTTAGATGATGCAGGAAAAATGTGCTTCTAGCTGACCCCAGCTGTACCTGTGGTCTGCAGAGGTGAACCGCATGGAGGACACATACAGGCTGTAGCAGACACTGAAACCAGGCTACTCACTTGCCCAGATCTAGGAACAATTTCACTATCAGCAAAAGATAAGGAGGGTATGACGTGTTTGTGTGTGTCTGTGACCACTTATATATTTTTTAAAAAATGGGCATGCTGTTTCAGCATCAGCTTCCTCCCCTAATTTTAAAAATAATCACATCATAGAAAGATCAATTCTAAAAATGCTGAATCCAATTAAAAACTGATTTTTACAAATCTAGTAATTAGAACAATCAGAAATGCTGTCTTTTAATAAGGAATCAAATTACTCAGAGATGCTGATTGTTAACAGGGAGTCTAGCTCCCCCAAGAAGGTAAAATACCTCCTTTTATTTACAAGTGTCACCGCTCAACAGCATATTTGAATCCCTTCCCATGGTCGTGTACATTTATATTTGTATTTGTGTCAATTGTTTATATATTTACATCTTTCTATCAGGTATTTTGGGTAGGATATAATGTTTAAACAAAATAAAATCTGTAACGAGGAAAGAAACATAAAATGCCATGTAAAAAATTAACATGAAAAGCATGCCTCACTTAAACCTTAATTTAGAAACTGTAATCTGATCACCTATTCCCACGCTGTGGATTTTAAAAAATATCAAAAGAAACAAAAATTACAGAGGATTAATTCTGTCTTAATAACAGCAATTCGACCAAAACCATATTCCATTCCCCCTTTCCCGGGCAACAATCTCCATTTTTTGTTTGTTTCTTTTTTTTTTTTTTGCTTAACACCAAGGCCCAAAGAAGAAATTCCCAGAAAATAACTAGCTTTAAGACAGCCATTACCTTGAAGCTTCTCGTCAGCTGCAGCCTCCTGAAATGCAGCCCCTCCCCGCAGACTGGCCTGGCACAGCTCACTTCCCAGCTGTTCGCCGAAGGCTCCGCCCCCTCCAGGGAAGGGGAAAACAAGGGGCCTTTTCCTCAATTACAGGGAAGAGAAGTGCCAAATTAAACTGCAATTCATTGAAGGGAAAAAAAATGAGCATTTTTAAAGCACTTGAAAGCAGAACGGCAACACGTGTCCTTTAATTTACATTCTAGCCACAAGGGTGAGTGATTTCCAAGAAAAATAAAGTAGGAATGCCATTATCATATAATAGAGACCTACTTAATACTAAGTAGTTAAGACAGTACATATCCTACAGTATATAGATTACCTATCTGCCTATTCTGGCACCTAATTTCTACAAATGATTTCAAGATCTAGCTTGTCAGTCTCCAGTAAACAGACTCATTAGGTACTTATTTGTGATTGCAGTGAGTTAATACACTACGTAGTGGAGAATTCATTTTTTATAATGTTAATTTTTCTGGCCCTGGGAAATGCTACGTTATGCTTTTTATTAACTCTTCTTATTCATCTTTAACATGTTTTATAGTTTTATCAACTGCAGTCATTTCCAAATATAAAATATCAACTAAAAGTCCTTAAAGAGGTATGTACCTGACTATTCTGAAATTGAACAGAAAACTATGGTCAAAATGACAATAAACCACATTTGAAATCAGAACAAACTTCACAGAACTATCTTCAATGCAAAAATATCTCTAAAGTAGCTTTTACATATTAGTAATAAATAGCAGTGTAAAAAGGGGGCAAAACCACAAATAGACAATTCACAATATTCTGAAGAATAATTCCAGTTACTTCCTTGTGAGCAAGGTCATGTAGCACAGCTATAAGTACCTCTGCTCTTGTACAGTTGCAAGCCTTAAAGCTACCTGGGTGCCTTTGCTTACATTTGGGGTTCTACTACAAGGCTCACTTAATTTTTACAATAATCAATGTTCTGTACCTTACCTTTCCCTTGTACTAAGCTGACATTTTGGCTTCCATGTACAACTCCGTTTGTTTTATATTAATTTGTTCAGTGAGGAGGGTAAGTAGTCTTTACTGAGACACTTCAAAACCCAAACATATACAAGAAAAACTAAAATTGACCAATGCATAAAATATTCACCTTTCTTAATAATCAAAGAGACACAATGCAAATGTCAGCATTATTGAAATGCAATTTTTCTACCTAGAAGCAAAGAAATGTCACAATGTACACTTAGCAAGGGAATAAGGAAAGTGACACTCTGACTCATGCCTTGAAATCAGAGACACAGTTTATCTAACTCCAAACCATAAGGATGCGCCTTCTCTCCACAGTACTCACATCCTCTGGGGCTTCGAATCCTGTCTATTTGGTAAATAACAATGGCATTTAATTTTGAATTGTGAGAAAACTAGTGAATATAACTCAAATGAGCATGGCTTAATCTAATATCCCTGCTGGTGAACACTGGTGAACTAACTACAGCCATCCTCAGTAGTAACTGTTATACTTACCCATGAACTCTCTCTGTCTTCTGTGTACCAAAACAAAAATTAAAACATTGTGGCACACTACTGTTTGTGTCCTGACCATATCTGGTGATAGCTTTGAATAGGCTTTAGAACAGTCATGACAATTCTGTTTTGTTTGTATTTTGCTGGGGCTTGTCACTAACCTTCTCTTCAGATACGCCTTTTCCTGGACAGACACTGGGAATAATTTTTCACACACTGAAATGCCCATTTCATTTCACTCTTATTAACAGCTATTTCTTGTGATTTCTTGTCTGCAACTGCCAACTAGATATGGGAAATTTGTATTTCTATCTTTTTTGCTGGCTGGGGATTTAGCTCAGGGGCACAGCGCCTGCCTGGCAAGCGCAAGGTTGTGAGTTCGATTCCTGGTACCGGAAGAAAAACAAAAACAAAACAAAACATTTAGAATCCTCTATCTTTTTTGCTGAGCTTTTAAATTCAAAAAATTAAGAAATTCAGCCTGAAATTTAGATTTTTATTGCCTTTAACTTCAAGGTGTTACTTTCCAGGAAGTGCTGACACTTCTTCACTGCTGATGGATGATTCTAAAGTTTAAGTCTCTTAAGATCTTGCACCAAGTTTAAAGCAAAACTTTAAAAATTTTTGCAAAACCCCATCTCTTATCACAGAGAAGAGTAAACCACATCTCTTGCCACACTCTAACTATTCAGGTTAGAGAAGCAGCTGCACTATGAGACAGATCTTTCTATAACTAACTAATTGAAAAAGATTATCTGCATTGAGGACTCTTCTTTAGAAGAGTGTCATTTTTCCAGATGTTCATAAAAATGGGTGAGGCTGGGCCAAATTTATTCTGTGATCACTCACCAATGGTTTGGGTTTTTTTTTTTTTTTTGTGAAACATGGATTTCTGTGGGCTGGGTCCAGTGTCTAGCCTTTAAGAGTTCATCATGAAGACATTACGATAAGCTTATGGATTTGAGTTTTGTGAGTCCTGCAGGCATGCAGTCAGACAGTTGTAAGTTTGAAACTGGCACTTAATCTGTTTTAAAGAACTTAGTCTTTAACAAATATTTAGGTCAGATCTTCACATCTTAGCACAGTTAAAGAAGACTCCTGGGTAATGTGCACTTTTCATATTAACTTAGGTTGTACAAATATCAACTATTAAAGTACATTTGATGATACAATCATAAAAATTGTAGAAACTTAGTTTCCTGGAAAAGCAGTGCTTGTAAGAGGTCTTGCTTTATGGCCTTAGAGCTAATAAATGGTCCTCACTTGTGGTAGCCTCTTTTCATCCCTCCAAAGTTTCACAAAGCAGCTTCAACCACTGATAACCGGTTTAGATTAAAATATGTCAAAAAGAGAAGGGATTAGAAAAAAAGTTTATTTTGCTAGTAGAAAGAAAGTGAACTGGCAATGAGAATGGAGACAAGATACAAGTAAGAAAAACAGAATCAGACAGAAGGGCTCAGAGGCATAGAACATATTTTGGAGGATCAAAGCAAAAACAAAACACGCTATGGCAACATATATCTGATACGTTATCTTTATTTTCTTCTGTTGTGTAAGAAGGGAGAATGTGCGGGAGGGTCTTTGGCAATACTAGGAACATTATTTGTGTTCCTGAGTAATCTGAGGTTTGTGGTCCTGAGTTACATAAAGAATGCTCCATATTAATGTTTTCTAAGCTGCTACTGCTTCCTTGTCCTCCCAAGGCAACCAAAAGAGATCACATGGACAAAAAGTGGGGTTCTGCACCAACAACCTCAGTAAGAGTACTACCTCAGGAGTCGGAGATTTGTGGTGGTTACTGTGAAAGAATTAAATGTGTTAAGCCATTTCACATACTATTCAAGAGAACATATAGACGTCTAAGAACAGTCTCATGATCTTAAGAAATCTTTGTAACTATGTTTGTGGTGATGACAACTTGGCAAAGCTGTTGATCATTTCAGTCAAGCCATGGCTAGAATCTCAAGTGGATGCATGAACAGTCTTTTGCATTGTTTTTTCTTTTACATAAGATACTCAAAATGAGAAGCTCTAAGTTTTAATCATAAGCATTCTGGGTATAGAAGAGGGATTAAAATGAATTGTACCCCAAATTTTCAAAATGTGGTTTTAAATTTAAATGCTGCAACTGCAGCATTGGAGAGTAGCTCAGTGGTAGAACACTCACCTAACATGTGCAAGGCCCTGGGTTCGAATCTCGTTATTAAAAATTATTCAAATGAAAAAATGATATGACTGCAAAGGAGAAAGCAAAATAAGTTAATCTTTTAAGGCCTCCACATATTTTTCAATGTAAAAATGATAAGATCCTTAGCTTCTGTCATGTACATCATGCTACATGTAGTCCTGCGATCTGGCTGTCTTGACTCAATGGCTGCTGCAACAATTTATAAGATACAATATGAAAACCATGAGCATTAGGCCATTGACTAGAACCTGAATAAGTTCTTGCACAATTTTTTCATACATGAGATTTTCAAAATGAGAAGCTGTAATTGTTAATTACAAATGCTGTAACTGGGGCTGGGGATTTAGCTCAGTGGCAAAAGCGCCTGCCTGGCAAGCGCAAGGTCATGAGTTCGGTTCCCGGTACC